GCAACAACTAAGCATTATTCAGGAAATATTACTGTCACATGTGCAGTCATCAGAGATAAACTATAACTTCTAGAGTCATACCATCCTTATGTCTGAGTAATTAACACTTTTTTTTGTAACTTGACTTGAGGAATACATCTTACGGAAATGTATACTCCATTCAATGTCTTACATTTCCCTTCCCATAGTCTTTCACTGTTTGAGAGAAACCAAGCCCACTTAAGACTGCTGTCTGAAAGTGCATTGCTCATCTGTCGTTGACTGTAAACAAAAGTTCACATTACAGCATTGATAAATGTAATATGCTACATTTATCTTCATCATTTACTTGAAAATTGATGCAGTATTTTTGTACCTCAGTCAGAAGTGGTTCTTGCTCCACTGATCTGAAAGCTTGAGCTTATCTGGTCAGGCAGTGATATAATACAAAGATTGTTGTCTTGAAACAGATATTAAGAGTCTTTGAACAAAGTAGAGTTCCGCTCGTCTGCTAGATCCACAGGAGTCTTTGACAAATGAGTGTTTGAACTTAAGCCGATTCAAGATAATCAGCTCAAGTGACATGGTTACAACTTTAAAACTGCCATTGTTATCTTGCCTCCTCATGTTGTCGGTCTTTCATGTAATAATGACGACTGTACTGACTGAAAGCATGACTGTGTAAATGTAAAAACAGGTAGGCTACTTTTGTTCGGCTTCTGGTCGGTCTTAGAATGAGAATTAAAGATACGACTTTTTGGGATGTGGTTACCTTTGATGCAAACTCTGTCAAAACAAACTTGAAAGAAGAATGCACTGTTCTACTACAAATTCAGTAATTAGATAAGAAACAAATATTGTTTGCTGAAATTTACTGAACTATTCACTAGTTACAGTTTGATGGCATTAGTCAATTGATTAATCGTTGATCATGTTAAGAATTTTTTGTGCAGCCCCAGCCTCCCTATAGATTACCTGTACGCTGACTATCTTCTACTTTCTCTGACTTTTTGTCTTTGTCTTCAGGAGAGTTCTGATTCTTTGGACTTTACTCTGTTGCATCTGCTCTCTGAGGCTAGCACAAGCACAAGGTAAGACACTTGAGCACGGATGGATGGATTCATGTAGAGCACATTCACATATTTGAGCAGGTACTGGTAGAGTCAAAGACAGTTACATTTCAGGTATGTCCTCTCTTAAACTAGGTCATTTTAAGATTTTAGTATGTTGCATGCATAGCTAGAACAAAGCATGAACAAAGGGAATTAATATAACTAATGAAAGCAAGAATAACATCCCAGAATGGCCCCACTGCTGTGTATGTTATTCAAGTTTTCCAGTTGTTCACAAACGAATGAATCAGCATCTATTTCGCTCCATTGACAGCAATGGTCAGCTATTCTTCCGTCAGCATTACTGTTTGATCTATCAAGTCTTTCACTCAACATGTTTACTTTCTCCTGGAAAGCATATGAAGCCTTTGTACGAGGTGGACCACTATTTGCAGCCTTTTTCCAGGCAGTGGATATCGGGTGCTGTACGCTTCAACTGGATTAGCGAGAAACTGTAGACTCTGCTGAGAATATTGCTTACTTTACATGGAATACTGTACAAATTGAACATCGTGTACTTCACTCTGTATCCCATACTCTCAGTAGCAACATAGAAATTGAACTAGTAATATTTGCAATTACGCTAAAAGCAAGGGCTCAAGTACAAATCCTTTTTTTTTTCTTTTCATTAATCAATATTTTTATAATCTGAAGTGGCATTTAGAGAGTTTTGGACATTAGTTTTATTAGATTTGTTTTGTAACATTCCATGAGCTTACAAATCTTTTACAATTCTGTAGCTGTTATAAGTTCAAATGTCTCCCCTAACCAGCCTTCCTACGACTCTCTGAAGTCTTAGTAAAGGTATTAAGATAATACATGACCTGTCACTCATGATTCCCAGAGTCTTCTCTACAAAATGTGCACTCACTCTCAGGATGAGTCACATTCTGCTGTGCCTTGAAATCTGATGCAGTCAGCTTTTCCTTACTTAAAGACTCTTCTATGGATGTTGTCTGACTTTACTGTCAATCAAAATCAGCGGAATCTTATTCAATGATAGCTTTACAGGGTTTCTTGATGCCTTTTGATAGTATGAGCCACTGCACTCAATGAAAACAATTTCTGGCAATTACCAGGTAACTCTGCATTTATCACTTGGTATTTCCCGCGAGTAATAACTGCTGGCTGTCTAGAGGCATATATTTTTTATATATATGGGGATGTTTCTGCAAAATCTCAAACTCTAATGAGGCTATAAACTCTCCATTGATAAAGCAAGATTTACTGTGAAAGCAGTTCTGCTAGAATTCAGAGCAGCTGGCTTTCCTTAACTTTTTTTTTTTTTAAAGATACATACTCTTGTTTATATAAAAACAACTTGCAGTGATAGTCAAGCATATAGAAAGGACTGTGCAATATCAAGCTGTTGTAAGTTTTGTGTTCCTTATATACTCTAATCTATTAAATGTCCAGTCTAGCATTGTAGGACTGCATCCTTTCCTTTGCATTCATTGACTTCTACCTCATGAGCCGCTGCTTCTTCTTTTTGAGATCAGATTAGAGATCAAATTAGATCAGATTAAAAATTAACTGCCTGCATAGAGGCCTTTAATCAAGTCTTTTTTGCAGTTACCATTATCTCTATACATTAATTGTTTGCATATACGTATCCTCAGAATGAGACTCAAGGCCTGATGATTTTCAGCCAGATTGTAGCATTTTTGGCACAGATTAGATGTCCTGCTTAGCCCTTCTCACATATAAACTTCATAATATTCTCTGTCAATTTCTAGACATCTAGCTCTTAAAAAGTTTTTCAAAGTTTTCAATAATGTGATACGCTTATTTTAATGATTGATGGTATGGAAACCAAAGCTTTAAAAAAAAAACCTTCTCATCTTCAGTTATACTTTAAGTTCTAAATATTTTCAAAGGCTATCATTAGCAAAAGAGAGAAAGCACTGTCTAAATTGCACAAAGATCTTGGCAATGTAGATATATTGGGTGCCAAGGAGTTTTATTTTTGTTGCTTTGGTATCAAAAGAGGGATCAATATTCTTTGATTTGACAACCTTAGGTCCTGATGCTTTCAGGACCTGGACTTTTACAGCCATGTCCCATAAAGCAGGAGACCAGCACAGACAATCTCTACGATACAAATACTATAGTTGAAAGTTCGACTCTGGCAACTGAGTTATTCAGTAGAGTATAAACCAGAGAAACACAGCTGAACTTAAACAATGACAAACCCGCTCGCTTGCTTGCTGTAAATGTTCCAGACTCTAGCATGCAGTTTTCACTCCCCTAACTTTAGGCAGACTTTGTTCTATAGGGCTGGAAAGTGTGGCTCCATAGTGGATATTATGTTGATATTATACCAGCCTTGTTCCGAATAATGGCTTTACTATTAGTGCTTAGAAATAAACAAGCAACCCTGGGTGGCTCCAGGGGTTCACCACCTCACCCTGAACAACTACCCCAACTATTTAGTCGTCTTGCTGCATGAATCATTTAAACAGAAAGCAAACCATTTGCATAGTAATGATGACAATCATATGCATAAATATAGATGAGAAGACAATCATGTTGATAGTCCACTTATTGACCAAATGCAATTAGTATGTCCCATTCCTCAGAACTTATTAATAAAAATTACATTTTCATGTGGCATGGGAAATGTCTGACTGAGAATATAACAGAATATCTTTATTTGTCAGTGTACAGATACAACTTTGGCCAATTATTCGACCTTCAATTAGCCAGTAGGTTCATTAAACTGAGTCAGAGGCAAGGAATTCACTCCCTTTTACTTAAGAAACACAGTGTGACCTTGAACTCCAAAATACCTTATTTTATAAAAGAAAAACACCACATGGGTCTTTATTTCTTCTATTCTTTTCTCCACTCGAAGATATTTACTGTGAAGCATCTGTGGAAAATGTTCTGTCTGTGCACGTGCCTGCTCTCAGAAAACAGAGTTTTTTTGAAGCAGTGCTTCGTCTTGGATGTGTTATACTCAGTTCTCAGTTTTTCCCCAGCTCATCAGGAGGTCACAAAAAGCCAGAGGCAGTCTGTCTTCCCACAGAGATATAGATATGAGAGAGAAAGCAAAGAAAGTAGATCATGAATCATAAAATGAAAGAACAATTTTGCTTTTCTCGAACCATATTAACAATTCAAATGAGTGCTATATTGGAAATTCAGCTGCAGACTGTCTTTGTTCTTGTTTCAGTTTCTGTTTGATGTTTCTTTTCCTTGTGTGGGTTTTTCAATCGTGCTGACCTCCCACTGCCTGTGCACACTAAACAGGGTTTCCCCCCCTGCATGTCTAGTGTCTATACTTGCTTCTTCTCTGCAGAGCTGTAATTTATCATTCAGCAGTTTATTTTAGTCTTGCCCACATTTGTTTGGTATTAGTCAAAGGGTGGATATTTGAGATGTGTGTGTACGATTTGTGCTTTGACATCGCATGAATTGGGATGATTATCGTACTTTATGCAGGATGCTGAATTGCCAAGGATGATCTTTTTTTTTTCATCCTTGCTAAACTAAACAAGAAGCTTTTGTTTGACACAACCGCAGACTTACACTGATGCATAACTATAGACAATAGTATTATAAGAGCAACATTTCCAGTCTTTTTCAGTGTTTAAACCAAAAACAGATTTCACTTTCTGAGAGAGCTGGATGTTATGTTTGGATAAGTTGTCCCAATTTATATTTCTATAAATTATCCCAAACATAAACTTTGTCCTTTTAAAAAAACGTGTGTGTGTCAGGCACCACCATTTTTTGTGTTAAGGGTTTTAAAGAACATTATTTTTTTGGAGTTCAAATGACGTAAGTTAAAATGACATGTTTTTTTTAAAATATAACTTTATCCTTACATCTTGTAGAATGTTAAATAACGTCAATTCATTATCAGGAAGAAATGTTTGTGTTAACCTTTTTTCTATGTTTAGTGTAATGGGTTGTCACAAATGCATTGGTAAGAATACCCTCGAAATAAAGGTTGGTTCTTGATAAAGTAAAATGTGGATTAAAAATAGTCTTCAACAAAGCTATGGATCCAATTAGGAGCAATATATACAGTAGAGGCAGCACTGTTATGTGTGAAAATCACACACATTTACTCCTGTGAGATGCAAGTAGCATTTAAAACCTGCAGAAAACACTGCAGAATGTTTTCATGAGCTAGGGCCCCTGTCAGAGCAATCATCTTTAATCGACAGACATTACCAGACATAGTGAGATGGCTTTTTAGTCTTTTGGAAATCTTGCCCTTAAAACCCCACTGCTGTAATCTTCAGGGACTCGTTTAGACTCAGTTCCCTGAGATTGCTCTAATTAAGGCTGATGTAACGATTGCATAATTTGTGGCAATCCCCCAAACTGGATTTTGATGCCTTGCCCTATTGGAAATTGTATACATCCTTTTTCAATTGCTTTTGCAGCAGGATTTCCATTAGTCTAACGTTAAACTTGTGAACTCTCCGCCTAGCACCACAACATAATTATCACTTTTATTACTACACTTTCGTTTTTTCCAGAATGTACTTTGATGGAGATCAGTGCACTACAGTGGGAGGTTGATAATGTGTGTCTTACACAAACTTTCGTTTTTTTAAATAGCTTTTTAAGTGCGCCTATAAAGTAAGATCTGATGTGCAATAGCTATGTCAATTGATTTGAATTTCAATTTGAATTTCCCTCGGGATCAATAAAGTATCTATCTCTCTATCTATGTTTTCCTCTCTTTAAGTTTTGGCATTCATACATCTTTTGAAATAGCTCATTGTATGCCCTTCTGTAAAGCTCTCTGTTATCTCTGCCTCTAACTTAACCCTGGAAGACATTTTTAGGGTAAAATTCAATAAAAACAATTCATACAAAAGAGAAGCGCATGTTTAATAAGCTTAAAAACTAATATATATAGTTGTATTGTAAGATGTTCCCCTTCCAGATTCCTTTGGATTTCTACAAAGCTAAGAGTCACTGACTTTCTCTCTTTTTTTCTTGTTTGAAGATGTGGATGTTTTGCAGCAGCTTGGGCTGTTTGGGAGAAGGACAGGCGAGTCGTCATCTTCGGGCGCTCAATCCATCCCCAATGGCATTATCCCCTTCAAGTCAGGAGTTATCCTCACCCCGAGGGCACGTATCCAGGTGCCACTGCGCACCGTCATCCCTGCAAACTACAGCTCCATCAATCTCTCCCTGATCCTTAGTCTGTCCGTTCACCGCATCAACAGCGCTTTCCTTTTCTCAGTCCTGTCTAAGAGAAGAAAAGTTCAGCTCGGGGTGCAGTTCGTACCGGGGAAAGTCCTGGTACACACTGGGCAGAGGAGCTCTGTGAGCTTTGACTATGATGTCCACGATGGCCGGTGGCATAGTCTAGCCTTGGATATCCAAGGTCATCAGGTGTTCTTACACACCTCTTGTGGAGCGAAAAGTGTTCATGCAGATTTGCGTTTAAAAAAAGTCGAAGCTCTTGACGCAGAGGGCTCTTTCTTGCTAGGAAAAATGAACCACAACGCAGTGCCGTTTGAAGGCGCTGTGTGTCAGTTTGACATTTATCCCTCTGCTAAGGCAGCTCATAATTATTGTGATTACATAAAGAAACATTGCAGAGAAGCTGACACGTATCGGCCCATGCTTCCACCACTGCTACCTCTAATTTCAACAGATGTAAACATTACTGTTACTCATAGAACTCCACTGAAAGAGATATCCAAAAACACAGAGAGACCAACTTTGGCCTTTACAGAGGGAAGGACAAGGACTACTAATGTTGATCCAACTGCCTGCTCGCTAATGCAGAACGAAACATCTGTGTATCCGTCTTTGAGCACTCTGAAACCTGGTGTTGTGTCTGTTTCTCTCCTGGTTCAACCTGGCTTCGAGAGCCCGCTCAAATTTCCAACTCAAACTGCTACTGCATCTCTTAAGATCAGCAGGACACCGCAAAACCTAAAACCAACTTCTTATGGTAATGCTGGGGAGAACACAGAGCAAGGAGATACAAATCCTCAGAAACCTTTTGACCAAATTATGGATTTACCTGCTTCCACGATACCGTCCGAGCTGAAGCCAAACCTCAAGACCACAGCTGCTTTCACACAGGGGTCTCCTCCAAACGCCTACCTTCCCCATAAAAACCAGTTGAGCACAGTAGCTTCAAAGAAACCTGAGCCAAAAGTGACCAGTATGCAGGATGTCAAACCCACCTCGCTTATTCCAGTCACTCTAGCTGCAACAGATGGCTTTCAGACTTTTGACGTGGAACCGACCCAGTTTTCACTGCTGGCTGGACCACCTGGAATAAAGGGAGAACCAGGACCACCGGTGAGTGTTTAAGCTGTAACGATAACACAACAAACACCTGTCCTGAAATCAGTGCAGGAGTACATGCATTTTTAACACATTTAAACCACAGGAAGTGTTCTTTGTTTCACATACTGCAGGGAGGGATATTTGTTTATTGTATGGCTTGTTTACCACACTGTATTTATTTGATTATTTATGAATGAATGTTATGAATTAGGGTATTTTCCCTGCAACAGATGTTTTCACATTTATCTGCAACATTTCTACTCTTTTGGACTCGTACAGTACACCTTTGGGTAACAATGATTTACGAGTATTCCAGATCTTTGTTTACATTTTGTTTGGCCTTTCTTTGATGTCCAGGACAAAGGCTGACGTTGTTGCTGACGTGTCTCCTGGTTGTGTGGTTTTCTGAATCCGGTACAAAGCACAGCATCTCTGAAGTGTTTTCTTATTTTACAATAGTGTGTTGGTTTGTGAAAGAGTCACAAAGCTACTTTCCCTGTTCTTAGTTTAATATATATACTGAATATATATTTTTTGCTGACTTGAAAGAAATAGTTGCACGGGAGCCCGGTCAGATTGTTACTGATTGTGATTTCCTGTTTAGCAGCGGTGGTAGAAATAGTCAGGTTCACAGCCGGTCTTTGCCAGTTAGTGTTTGTCTCGGTGGGGGTGGGGGGCTGATAGTGGGGTGTTAGATTCCTCTGAGAGGGAATGTGACTGCTCAGAGAACGGATACTTTTAAAGTGGGGTCAAAGGTAAATAGGGATCAAGCACTTGTGCACAATTAACTGTTTAGAGTAAAAATATAAAGAGTAGTTTGTCCCAGTTTTACTTTTCAGTTTAAGTTTTGGCAAGGCATGCACTAGTTTTTTCTTTTAACCAAAGAAAGTTCTTTAAAAAAAGTTTTAAAACATTGAAATTTAAATAGTAATATAAAACTGATTATCAGAGGTTTAGGGTTCCTATTTTGTAAAAAAATAAAAAATAAAATTCCAACTAATGTGACAAGATGCAGTGCTGGAATTGCAAAATTAAGAGATTAAAACAATCCATGGACTGACCTCTTTAGTTAAGAGCAAACTGTTAGTGGTAATACAGTTGACACATTTATTTCTGTCATTTGAGTCGGACAGATTTATCAGTCAGCTCATACAAACAGGCCGATATCGACCTATAACATGTCTTGATATGGCTTGCATCTTAAACAGATATTTGCTTATATAACATTTTTAAAGCAGGCATCAATGCAATGAGGAACAAAAGCATCACATTGCTTTTTTAAAATTCACATACCGTATTAAAACAAATCAAGTAGATGAGTTAAGATGTGTATGTTGAAGTGTACCCACTTAACTCTAATAGCATCATTCAAATGTTCATCTGCCAGTCTTGCTCTGAATTAAAATTCAGGACATTTATGTCTGAAAAAATCTTCTTCTCAAAGGTATGTAGAGCCAAATAAGAAAATGTCAGTGCTGCTTGGCAAATGATCGTCTAGTTTTTTGGGTCTCCAAGGCTTCAAAAATGCTCTGAGTGTCGCTCGGATTTTGTCAGGACAAGATTTTGGAGATTTATAAACTCCATCTCTGCAGGATTGACACTTAACAGTTCAGCCCGTTTCTCTTAAATCTCTGCTATGTCTTTCTACATAAAGAGGTTGGTAATGAATGCTACACAGGGATCCCGCTTATCAAAATCATTGAACCTATCCTCAAACTCCTACACTAGCCTGGATAATAGGTCACAATACTCTTATGTGCATACATGTACATACCTAAAACATCATCACCCCCTGCATGGCTTTCCTACATGTTTACGACTACTAAAGTGTTGTCTTTTTTTTTTTTTGTTGTTGCTGGAGGTGAAATGAAGGTATTGTGTTAAGACTTCACAGCACTGATCATGTTACAGATGTTTTTGTCCTTGCCTTGTAACATTGACTTCAGGTGGTTAAATATCTCAATCATATCTGTCAGGAAAGCAAGAGCAAGCAGCCACTCAGCATCAGACAAGAGGGCTGTGTCCTTCTCTCTTGATTTCATGAAAGGTTGTGGTTTTCAGAGGAAGCGATGTCAAAAACTCCTCTTTGGTGGGAAAAATAATCAAACAACAAACAAACAACCACAGCTAACTGTGCGGTATCGCTGGAGTCCATCGACTCGTCACACCAAATCGAAAACCCATTTGCACCTTGTTGTGTCCTGCTCCATCTGCTCATTGTATCTGGAGAAAGCACAGACTCAAAAACGCACTTTATTGGTATATTATTGATGGTGATGGTAATAATGACGATTGTTTTGTTTGATGGCGGCAACTTTTAAGATGGTTTCTATACTGATTATCTCTCAAGAACTGCCGTCAATGTTGTGCTTTGCCTCTGGTCACTTCCTGTCAGCACCTGTGTGTCCGATTGGGACTCAAAGCTGATCGTTTGTACTTACTGACATTGTTCCCTTTTTTCTAGATCGTGGCTTGTGTTGTACTTACTCTCTGATGTACGTCGCTTTGGATCAAAGCGTCTGCTAAGTGAATTGTAAAACTGGCCATTATATGTGTTAGCGTTAATGTGTTCCCATCTAACATTGTCCTCAGCCAGCCATTACTGGCTGGGCTCTACTTGCCTCCATCAGCCAGTTGTGACTGTAGACTTTGTGCTTCACTTTGACCATATGATCATATCCTGTACTGTTCCTCTGTTAAATACACAATTGTTACCCACATTTTCCGATGTTAAAAAGACTTCTCTGTCTTGTATTACGCCATGTTCAACAAAAAAGAATGTTGTAAGTAAAGCTTTCCTGTTTTGGCAATGAGAGAAACCACAGCTTGCATGCCACTGAAGTCTCTCAGACCATTTTATGACAGAAAAGTAACCGATGCTGAGGACTTTCAACCATTGTGTTGCTTGCTGATGTTTCAGAAGAGTCTATAAACTTTAAAGAGATTGCTTAGTCAGTTAAATCTATTTTCAGACAATTTAAGAATATGGTTTCCTGAATTATTATACTGTTGACGAGAAGCACATTGTTGAAGTTTGATCCCCTTCCGTGGGATTAGGGTTGATCTTTGTGGGCCATGGACTTCAATTTGAACTGCTAACAATAGAAGGAATTTCTTTGAAAGCAAATATGATAAGTCTACAGCCTTTTTTTAAAGACAGCATGTCAGTTCTAATAGATAACATGAGTGCTCATTAATTATACTAATAATTAGTAAATTAAATAATTAATTATGGATGTACTTTTAGCACTCTAGATGGGAGGATCACAAATGTTGACTTGATAAGCAAGTGAGTCTTTAGTGGATGCCTAGATAATATTTTCAGCTTTGAGTTTAAGTATACTATGGTTATTATATTGCATCACATATACATCTAAATGAGAATGTCCTCATAAAATATAGCTTAATGGGTTTTTAAAAGACCTTTTGGGATTCATTTAAGCTGCCAACACATAACAAGCATTTAAAACAGCTTTTCAATGCAATAGCATGCCAGCCCTTACTTTACAAAATTAACCTTTCTAGTGTCTCGTGCAGTATTTAAAAAAGTTCACTTTGACTAAAAAGACCACTTGTATTTGGTTTGGTACTATAAGCAAATACCCTAAATTGCAAATAAATTGATATTATGTTAGACTAGGATTTGGTGCACGTTTTTGCACGCTTGCGTTTTTTACTTCCAAAACAGCAATGATCTGAACCTCACAGAACTGCTTCAAGTGGGATTTAACAAGTTGCCTCTGGGTTTGAGTTAAAAATAAATTTGGCTATAATCTTGTTTGTTGTTGACCAAGAAAAACATGGAGAAAACCTCTGACCTTCCAATGATCCACTTGAGTTGAAAACCCTTAAATGCAAAATAATCTTAGGTGAAATAATGACACCAACTTTAGAGTTTCAAGAATAATGATTGTCTATAAATTGTATATGTTTGATAAAGATGTCAGCTCTAGCATTGCCTCGCTAAGCAACCAGCAGTGACTGCAGCTCAAACTGCTTATTTGTGAACAGCCTGATTGTTAAAAAATCTAAAGGTTCCTGAAGGCGATCTGATTTCCACAGTGACTGACAGCTGAAACAGCTCAATTATGGCTATTGGTTCAGGAGTCTGACAAAAGTGCTCCATACGTCTGACATTCTTACAATAGTCCATTTTCATCTGGACTGCCTGGAGCTGTTTTAAAGTGCTGTTTCCTTTCCTCTTTCTTTAAACTTCCGAAGCCATGGGAAAATAAGTAACAATCCCAATATCTCAAGCTTATAAAGGTTCCCCAGCTTGACCCTTCATTAGATTTGACCTTTCAGAGCTTTGCTAATCCATGTATGAAATTGTTTTAAAGCTAGCTGATGCCCATAATTAATGTGATTGGCTGCGGCTGGAACCAGTGCTGGCCTCCCTGCCAGTATAATGAGTCAGACTTCGGTTCTGTGTAGTGTAGCGGTTTTGGGCTGAAATCATTTTGGCTGCAGAGAGAAAGAGCTGCTCTTGCTTCTAACAATACAAACTTATGCATGCCATCATCTCACTTATGCTCTGCCACTTTCCTCTAACTTCACTACTGTCATATCAGAAAAAAATAAAGATGTGTTTACTGATTTAATTTTAAGCTTGGGTGATTTTTACAGATTTTACTCAGAACACTTGAAAATTAAGGTCGACCAATATGTAATTTTTGCGAAAAATCAACAGTTTAGCATTATTGTAGCTGATCAAGTGCCTTTTAGCTTAAATGTGAATGGACCCTTAAGGTATTGAGACATCTGCTTTCTTAAAGCTCCTGTGAGGGGTTTTTTGCTGGTCATGAATCAAAGTGAATTCAATACTGATGTCTAAAGTCTATAAAAGCAAACAAAGACATCAGCAACAAGATTGACTATTACTGTATAGCTATTTCAATACCTGGCCTTGGTATCCCTGTGAGTGATATATTCAAAATGACAGCAAAGAGATAAGACATATTTCTTTGTCTACTGGGGTTGAAAAGATCCACACAAATGTAAATTCCTTCGCTTTAAACAGATGATTTTATTGAAAAAAGATTAACATATTATATTTATGTTACCAAGAAATTGTATTAAGGACCACATTTTGGCCTTTGTGCAGACAATGATGAGAGTATTTCCAACTCTTAAGTCTGGAAAAGTAGCATATCTGCTGGGCAAAAAGGTGATGAATCTATTTCCTAATCAGCCTGCATAGTTTATTGTATATGTAGTGTTAAAAAAACTTTTAAATCATTGAATATCTAAACAGATACAGGTACATCACACGTCTCTGCCATTTCCTATTACCATATGACGAATATATTTGTAATAGGTCCGTAATCAGCCAAATTGTGTTGGCTAACGGTATCTGTATTCAAATATGTCTTTTGTATTCTTTTTTTCAGGGACTTGAAGGACTTCCAGGGTTGTCAGGAAAACCAGGGAAGAGGGGCCCAAGGGTGAGTATCTCTATAGGAGTGACAAGTTCTCCATTTAAATTCACACAATTTCTCTTATTTTCATTATCTCTTTCAAAGTCCCCTCTAAAATCTTTTCTAAGAATTACATTGAATCTCAATTATGCCTTGATAATGTCTGAGCTGCATTATATTGAGATAAGACCATTAGCAGTGCATTGATTTGAACGACCTTTGAGCATTTTCATCAAGCACTCTGTGACCTCTTTGGATTACGGAGCATTACTCAGCCAGACGTTGGTTTGCTTTGGCTCAGGGTTTGATCAAGCTGTGCATGTCTGCTGCCAAGATCCATTTATAAAGCTGGAGAGCAAACAACTATAAGCTAAAAAACCTGTGGGTTGCTGATGTCAAATTAATTGAACACACACGGAAGGCATTTGAAAACATGAAGAAATTAGGCAACTTGTGCAACAGTATAAAAAGAACTAGATTTTCTTGAACAAGCACTTTCTATCCTATACATAAACAGAACAGCTACTTAAATTGGGCATAGGTCCTATGTCAACATGGGTGAATGCTTCTTGTGTATCAGACTGAGTCGTACAGGGCCATGTCTCTCATTCTGGGACTCAGTGTCAGTCAGGCTGTGAGCTCCTGCTGGATTCTCATAGAGTGACTCCAGATGTTATTTTAAGCTCTAGTTTTGAGAATAAATAGGAGAAAGAAAACACTTGGATATGATGTGTCTCTAGGGGCAGTCTGTTATTTCTGAGACCTTTTGCTGGTGTTTATATGTGTACATGCTGACCTTAGAAATGTCCCTTTCCCCTCCCTTAACTAAAAAATGATTGAAGCAAAAATTAAACTTGGCATTTAAATGAGCCTACACTGAAATAAATACATATGCTAGAAATCGAGTCGGTAAAAAAATGGGTAGATACCCTCTTTAATTTCTCTGTGTCAGATCTCCTGTTGACATGTTCCTGCCGGAATATGAGTTTGAGCTACCTGCCGCAGCCCCTTGAGACTCTGCCCCGCGGTCAGGCCAAAGAGGGGTGGGCTGTGGGAACTCAATCTCTTTAAAGAAGGAAGAAAGAGGGCTTTGTCTCCATCTTATTAAAGGCATTTAAGACCCTGTCTGGAGCTCAGCAGCTCTATGCAGAAGTATACCAACTTCTATGAAGTTCATTCATCATCAAGCTCTTGAGACCTAGCTGTAGGCCACAGCAACTCAAAGGATGAGACCCAAGGGTGCAGTTTAGGTTTTTACTGATTGTTGGAAGACACATTTACTCAAGAGGCTCATGAAACAGTACACATTTTCTGATCCTCTAATTTTGGAGGGGATTCAGGGGAGCCAAAAGCCTCGAGACATTGAGGATAAGTGCAATGCATTTATTCTTCTCAGAGTTAACATGATTGCATTGAGCTGCTCTCTTCTTTGAGAGGCCTTATCTAATTCACTTCAAGTGACAGTTGCACAAAGAGAGATGTGTGTAGATGTGTGAAAGATGTGATATAGACAGAATCTGCCTTTCCACAAAAGGGGTAATGTGACCTGCGTGGGCACTTTTTACTCATCACAAAGACTTCACAGCAGTCAGGAGGACACAGCGCAGCAGTGGGGCTTTACCTTTCTGACAGCAAGGTGTCATGTCTGACTGAGCAGACAGTCTCACTGCTGCTAACAACGAGCAGCATCTCTTACACGTGAGAGCAGCCACGTTCCCCAACACAGCCATGAGCCTGGCAGAGTGCTTGAGTTCACCCGGCCCTGAAGGGGATGCTTGAGAGCGGATCAAAGAGGGCTTTGTGCAGAGAAACCGACCTGCCAGTGTGCAGTCAGAATGTGATGCTGGGGTTACTGTGAAATTCAAACCATTTGCATAATTGCCTAAAGAATGGGTGACACTATTATGACATGAAATGAGGAGTCTTTGGACACCTGAGCAATGGAAGCACTGTTTCTGTCATTGATTGATTGGTGCAGAAAATGGTTTTATTTACAAGCATGTAGAAAAATTCTGGTTATTTTAAAGTTAATTTCATTGATAAGACATCTGTCAGAGACTTGAATGGGTTTCTCTGTAATGATTGCGACACCGACATTTATCGAGCATGAAACCAAAACAACTTGCGGTGCATTGTTGTGTTAGCGTGCTAATGCTAGCGATCTTTATTATGCTCGTATCTTCACACTGCATGTAATTTACCCGAAATGAGCGTGATCTAGAAACACAGTTAAGCAGTGAGTACAGTATGTTATTCTTCTTTTCTCTGGTCCCTCAATTAAACAACTTTTATTCGCGAGGGGAGGAGTCAGCCGCCGTCCTGGCGATGTAAACAAACTGAGAATATGTCTCGGAAAACTCGGAAAACATCACAGACAGTGGGACTCGGGTTTTACACCCATTGTAGACAGTCATTACTCACAGAGTTATTTTCAGAGGATATACTTGATTTCTATTATATTTAAGTGTGAAAAATCGCATATAAAGCCTTTAAGTGAGTATGCGGTCATCAGTGTTGAATTGTCCTTGTCCAATTAAAGTGTGAGCATATTTAAATATGTGGACCTTTTAGTCAAAAAATATCCACGTTGTAATTCTGTTTTTATGTACTGTCACACAGCGGTCGTCTAACCATTACCTAGTTGATGGAAGTCTGACTCTAACAGTTTGTAGCAGCTCAACCTACCACACAGCTGCTATGGTGCCAAGTAGGTTGCATTGATCACCTACTATTTGTCTATTTAGGCAAAGATGATGGAAAGTGATGGAAAAGAGCTGTGCCTTTAAATGGCTCATTTTACTTATAAAATGCTTAACTTACAGCTACCTGACAGCTCAGTTCATCAGTTAGAATTAATATCCATTATGAAATCCACCATTTCCCTTTTTACCCATTTCCTTTAGCTGTTTTCATTTACTTTTTGATCCGTAAGAGGTTCCTATATTAGTGGTTAAGTTATTGTTGTAACCTTCGGCCTTCCATGAGTTCATTATTTTCTTTCAAAATAAAATCAGGTTTGTAGTGTGTGGTCCACTGTTGTCCAAGACGAATTTCCCACGAAGACAGTTTCTAATCAGACAAATATAATTTTTTGTACCATGTTGTAAATATTTAAATTCCCTCTGTAAAAACAAGCATTGTAATGGGGTCTGTACTGGAGTTTTTTTTTTATGCTTCTGCATTGGCTTCATTTTTAAACCCTTGAAGTTGCTGCTTAATTATTATTATTTATTTATTTTTAAGGTTTCTTTTTGGGCTTTTTGTGCCTTTAATAGAGAGATAGGACAGTGGATAGAGTCGGAAATCAGGGAGAGAGAGAGAGAGAGTAGGGAATGACATGCGGGAAAGGAGACACAGGTGGGATTTGAACCTGGGACGCCCGCTTGAAGGACCATCGCCTCCATACTTGGGGTACTAGACCCCTAGTATTTTTTCCGTAGAATGTCCGAGTGAGCTGATGTCTGAACGCGGCAACATATTCTCCAAAGATTTCAACTCGAGCCAATAGAAAGAGAATGACGTTTATATACAGTGACCGGCTAAAGTGTCTGCATGCGACCACTACGATCTCCGTGCACGTAATTAAACGGCTGCATTATGTTTTCTGTTCGTCAGTATGTTGTATGTTGTTTTGTGGATGTTGTCATTCCATTGGACTACACATAGCATTGATATAAAGGCAAATATTCTCATTATAGCGTTGTGTAGCGGACTCTGTTGCTTCGGCTGCTACTTCCGCGTTGTTTATATACGTCACGTCTTACCTCAGGAAATCCCCCGGCCCCCCTCCCATCTGACAGGGATAGTCCCCCGCTGTGAGGAGCATATGTGAACGGCTAGGTCGGGAGAATCTCCAGAGCGTTCCTCCTGTAATTATCTAGATATTATCCGGAGTGCATATGTGAAAACGGCTTTATATACCTTCATGCTATCAAGCAATAGATTTATTGTTAAATAGACACTAACATTAAGCGTGACATACTAGGTGCACACTGTAGGATAAACTACAAATAAAGATTAAATGAAAAGCCATAACATCTTCTTAATACACATTGTGTTTAAAATTCACTGGGTTAAAGACTGACCCCCAATTCGCGGGTGCGAGCCGTCCGACGGAGCAAAACCGTGGCGCTGACGGACCGCGCCGCGCACGGACTATGTGTGAATTGGGGGTGAGTGTTTCCTTCTTCTCACTTGTTGTCCAGTCAAGGTGTCAGCAGGTCTGTTCAGAGTTAATGATCTATAAAAACAGTAGCCGTCTCACTCCTGTAAAAGTCTGTGGCCCACATCGTAAACCTGGCCACAGCCCTGGCATACAGGTGCCCTTCATCTGGAGGCCTCAGGTGTGACTGTGTGTGTGTGTGTGTGTGTGTGTGTGTGTGTGTGTGTGTGTGTGTGTGTGTGTGTGTGACCTGTGTTTACATTAACACTTGTATGTATGTTTGTGTTTATATTTGCTGGTGGTCTCTAAATGGTTTCTTGTGAAGAGTTCTTGTTAATAATCAAGCAAAAGGCACTTTATTCCTCTTCTCACCCGCGTGATGATAGATAGACAAAGTGACTCATTCTCCCCATCAAGTATCTGTCTCCATCAGGATAACAACCGCCCACCTGGTGCCTCTTCACCTTGTGTACAGCAAGAATGCAAATGGAAATATACTTTCCCATCTTTTCATTTCTCCTCTACCTCTCCTCTTCTCTTTGCTTCCTATCTGAAGATAATGACTTCCATACGTTTTAATATCGAGCGAGTGGAAAGGGGTATGCTCTGAATAGAGGAGGAGGAAATCTGTAGATGAGCTTCTGTTAAGTGGCTCCATATGCCCAGCAGTGAGCGCCTGTGAGGGGGGAGAGAGTTTGAGGGGAGAGGAGCTGTTCGCCTCCTCTCCACAGTCTGATAATTGAGCACAGATAAATAACAGAGACAGAGACTGGCTGGATCGCCCAACCACACTCTTACACCTCTTGGCCTCCAGCGTCTGTTTCACTCAGAGTTATACAATCCCTTACTTTCACCTCTAGCTCAGGGGAATGAGGTTTCTACTCTCAACGCATGGAAAGTTTGAAAAACTCAGACTGACGATCCTAGTCCTTCCTGTTCAGGCCTTCTGAACATGTTTCAGTTTTTCTGGAGAAGATTGTCTATGCTCAGCAATTCGACTATGTGCAGCTGAACTCCTCAGAAGGATTCTTCAGGAAGTTGTGGCTTTATTTTTCCAAACAATCCCTCTATGCCGCTCGCTTGAATTTATAGTCCCTTCAGAAAGAGAAAATAGTAGTCTCCTCACTCTCTGCTCCTCTATGTCTGCCCAAGGCCGGACTTGCAAAAGATTGTCCTTTCTGATCTAACTTTTGACACATATCGCTCAATGAATAAAGCTTTGAAGCAGGTTGTATATCACAGACACCTATGGCACAGAGTGATTGGGGGATATGGGTGATGGATGAGTGGCCTTCACTTTGTGGGACCCAAGAAACCAGGGGAAAAGTGTGGGGATGAGGAAAATCACATCCATATGTCATAACTTGGACAGGCAGGCGAGGCAGACATGAGGCGCAGTAAGTCTCACAGAGCACCTATCCACAAACACAGAGGGACCTCGGGGCACCGCTGACCTGTCCCATTATACAAACAGACAGTGGAAAGGGAACAATATGTGCATACATGTGTGAATACCTAGTACTAACTCTAACCATCCCACTGCTGCTGCTGCAGAGATGGAGGCCTGCTCAATGACCCCAATGATCACCTTCTTTAATCATGTGTGTCTTTGTTTTCAGGGTCCACCTGGCCCACATGGAAACCCTGGTCGCTCTGGACCTCCAGGAGTGAAGGTACGACATAAAGGAAAAACAATTTCTCGTCAATTGCTCCCTTTCTCTATCTGGGCGGATAAAATACATACGGTCCACTTTGTAATCTGTATCTGAAGAAAAGGAAACAAGCTGCAACCTTTAAATATGTTATAAACAAAAGATTTCAGGGAAAAAAAATTCAGTAGTGCCACAATTTACTAAAATTTAAACACTTCATTTCTAAATCTATTAAATGGTTCAATTGTATAAAGCTGCCCTAAAAAAACGTGGGTCGGCATTCATTTGAAATGGTTGCCAATAGGGCTGCAACTGACTAAAATTTTCATTGACAATTACATTTGTTGAAAATCCTTTTTATCTTTACTTTTAATTGATAAATTGTTAGCTCTATAATGATTCAAAAGTTTTAAACTGTCAGTCAGTGTTTCCTAGTGCCCAAGATAACTGCCTCAAATGTCCATATGTTCACATCCTAGATATATTCATTCATCAGCAAATATTCACATTTAAGAGATTGGAATTTTTTTCAGAAAAAATGACTCAAGCCATTTAAAGGGATACTTCACCCGTTGAAACATGAATCTGTATTGACATTGGGTCATATATGTAGTAGAAATGTAAAATACATTTTGAAGTTGGTGCCTTCTTGGCTGAGAAAAGGCAGAAAGTGTCTTTTTGGCTCATGTGGATGAAAGACACCAAATCCCAGAATGCACAGCACCGCAGGCCACTCCCACTAAGGTCCTCTAGTTCAGAATCAGAATCAGAATTACCCAGAGGGAAATTCGATCGTTACAGTTTCTCCAAAATATACAATATAGCAGTAGAAATATAGTAATAAAAACATTTACAGACATATTTACTTCAACACATGAGGCTGTTTCCTCAACTGATTACGAGATTTCTTCCAGAAGGAATTGGCATACAGACTCTATGTCTGTGTCCATAGGCAAACAGTTAGAGCACCGACACTACCAGTCCGCCCCAGCTTGAGCCGGCCCGGGCTCCTCGTCCTCACCGCCGCCGTCAGGCAGGCCTTTTGTCTCGGCTGCTGAGCTGGCAGCTGGCGCAAAATGAGGGCGGGATGCACGAGCATTCAAAAATACTATCAGGTTTCTAATGCTACAAAGCTTAATGCAAATGGGTGAAGTATCCCTTTAATTATTTATCAATAAAAGTAGCAATACATTTTGTGTGAGGCAACTAATCGATGTCTCAACAAAAACACAGTATGAAGCTGGTTGGACGTGACAGCATCCCAAATAGGTTACATTTTGTCTTCTAAAAAACACAGCATGCAACTGTTTTGGGAAATAATGTTGACATCTATATATTTTGACTTCTATTTAACAATTTATGTGTTCAGTGGGAACTAATGGGCTTGGGGGCTGAGAGCCAAATACAGAGTCGGGGAGTCTGAGAGTGTTGAGAGATGGACCCACACTGTGTTTGTTTGGGTCTTTTCATGGGATTTGATGTGAGAGGAAAATACAGAAACATAACATGCTGTTGGTGGTTTGTTTACATCGAGAACACAACAGGGGAAAAAATATCTAATGTTGTGTTATGATGAGCCAACAATCATGAAAATGTCTTTTTATGTTTACTTTGAGCTCAAAAATAGAAATAATCTAATCTCCTTTTTGTTATTTAGGTTAAAAGTTGACAGGGCATTTAAGTTACTTTCTATTCTTTAAAAAGTTGATGCAGCCAATCTTTTAAGTGGAGTTTTAGGTAAGGGGAACCTCTTGGGGATGCTAGTAGTTCGAAAGATTACAAAAAAATGTTATTAATTAAATAGAATAAAATATATGGCTGTGCTTTCATAACTCATATCTACCGAATGTAACAAGGGCATTATAAGAACAATGAATAAATAAAACACAACAATGTCAGTCTGACGAGGCAGTACATCTTCGGTTTCTTTCTTGACCCAGTGTTTGTGATTTCACTGAGTTTGCATGTCTGAGGTCAAATCCTCTTGGCATTACAGCACAACTCTTCAGCCTCTTAGAAAGCCATTTGTTTCCTTTCAGGAGAGAACAGCAGTTTTTAATCTTTCTGGCTCACTAATTTGCAAGTACTTGACATCAGTCTGTGTTCCAGCTGATTTAAATTGTCAACACAGAGGGTTGTTTTGCTCCACAATATGCCAATCTGATATCACAAAGGGCGCTGTATGTTAGACTCTGCTAGAATAAAACGGAAAATTCCTCATATTTCCAGGTCATAGCTAATCCATTTGAACGCATTGGATTTTCTGCATTTTCCACAGCGCTTTTAAACATTAAAAAACATAATCAATGCCATGCTTTTGGCGCGATTTAACCTAAGGGGAAAAAAATAACTTTCATATCATACATATGTGTTACTGGAGCCTAACCAAGCCTGGCCCAGCTCAGTTTGACCCATTTGCACACAAACCTCAAACAGCAAAGGGCCTGGTCTGGCACAGGCCCCTGTCAGCAGAAAAAATGAACATGTTGGATGGAAACATGCTGTGTTTGAGCTGCGATTTGTTTTGTATATGACGCTTCATCAGGACGTAAAGATGATTAACTGAGACATTATGATGATCAATCTATCTCCTGTGGCTTCCCATTAAGCATTAAATGAAATGAATGACAGCCTGAAACATGTGTTTAAAAAGCACAAGTACTTGTTTAGGTCTTGAGTTTTTAGAAGAAATTGCCTCATTTAGCCTCATTTTAATTGAACACTCTTCATGATGTAGTTGAGGTATAAACTTTTAGACAAGACACAGTGATCATGCATGTGCTCTTGGCTGGAGTTCAACTCTTGGTGCTGTAAAGAAATCTGTCTGCAGAAAATTCCCAATAAGTTTTTTTAATGGCAAGTTGCTGAAAGGAACATGTAGGTTTAAATGGTCTGCTATACTGCGTAATGGAACTTTTGAGATAAAACCTTTTCATTTGAAGAAGTGCATGTCTTTCCTGCTTTGCATAACATGGAGCCTTTTGGACTTGACATCGACGATATGGAAAGATTGGACCCCATATGGAAAAATTGTTTCCTTTAGCACTGCACAATGTGTCACAGTGCAGGATTTCTCTCCATGTCTCTGAAATGTTGAATAATCGGATTACTTTTTAATAGTCCAACAGTCAATGTTGTAAAAAAAGTTGTTGTAAAGTATACTTTGAGGACGTTATCATAAAGGAACTTATCAATTTCCTAGGCCTCTCTTCCACTAGTGTGATTGGATGTTGAACGTTGACCCAGTATGCACTGACAGGATTCCCACTACCCGAAAAGGGAGAAGAATGTACACGGTAACTCCCCATCACTTCTCGCTGTCTTGGTGTAAACCGAGTCACCGGAGGGCATAAACGGACTGTACTTTAGTGTAAATACAACTGCTAGACTCACCAATAAGAAGGATGCACTCATTACTCTGATGATGTAAATGCCAACAGCAAACTCCTCTGCACCCTGTGAAGTGGAATGCTTTGGCAATGCAGCAAATATTCAGTAAACGTTGGTGCAGAAAAGGATATATCTCATGCCCACTGGGGGAAAAACTTAAAATAAACTGTTCTCTGTTTTTATCTTCCAGGGACAAAAAGGAGATCATGGACTGTCCCCAGGTCTTGCCTCCAAAGGACTTAAAGTATGCACATTGCCATCTTTCATTTAATTAAATTACTCCATTATTTGCAGACACAATAAGATAAATTGTGTCAGCTTTAACCTGTGACCCAATTTGTCTGTTTTAGGGAGAACCTGGTGTATTTGGCCCACCTGGACTGCCTGGCCAAGATGGACGAAAGGTAGAAAATCTGATTTAATCTCATTAACTCAAACTGAATTTCTGTTTGTGTGTTTAAGTCTACAAGGAAGTAACTGATATCTGCTAAATATCACTGGCCCTGTCCCATATGTGCGAAGGTTCATGTTGTGCTCCTGTGTTGGCTCTTTTTTGTTCTCAACGTGTTTCCAGGCATAAATTGTACACCTTGAATGAATGCGTTTTATTGAATGAGTGGAGTTCTGTATATGGAGGATCACTAAATCAAACGTGCACTCTAAACCCCCCGGCCCACTCTTCACTGCCTTTGAGGTGGAAAAATCTGTGATATAGCAGCGTTCAGAAGCTCCAGCCAAACATGGATGTTTGAGCTCTTGTTTGGAAAGTTGCCGCACTTAATGCAGGCGTCAGGGAACACACCTGTGTTCAAGCTCCCATGTGGGTTGAAATACTAAAGGTTTGAATATCTCAGCTGTTACATCATCTGCATCACAGGCCTTGAAGGAAGTCGAGGTGAGCTGAAGTTTACAGAGTGAAACTTTTTGCTTTCTTCAAATGCGTGTTATGTCACTTAATCTCAGGAGAACAATTCCTGTAAAAGTAGGACAAGTTCTGAATGTGGTTTTGATCTGTTCCTGCCCTGAATTGTTTGTCTACATTATTTGACTTCTTAACATGCCACTGAGCTGGGTTATCCTGACAGAGAGTGATGGTAAGCAGCATGTTTTTCCAAGGCCTTTTGCATTTTATCCTTGGCCTTTTCCCAAAGCCTGTTATCCCCCTCACAGTAATTACACATCTCAAGTGGACCAGAGCTGGCTGGATTTCCTTCTATGCAGAGTGAGCAAATTACATAGTACTGTGTAACCCACTTTGTTTTTCCACAGTTTGAAGACAATGTTTTTGCATTGCTTTTTTTTTTCTTTATTATAAATAAATACCTTTTGTATAATCTTGACGTAAACTCATCCCATGACCAGCATTAATACAACAATCTATTTCCCTAATACCTCCAACTATCCCTACCCTCTCTGTAGCTCTCGGCTTTAAGCCATTAATAAGAAAAAATTGAAACAGCTCAGATTGTTGTATAATCTAATGGTACAAAAGATCTCAAACCATCCACATATCCATATAAACAGAAGTTAGTTTGAAGTCTTTTCAGGCAGGAGAAAATAGTTCACTTGTATGAAACTATTTTTGGCTGCTGATTGATGCAAATGTGATGCTGTAGTGATTATTCATAGCTACAGGATGTTGGTCAGATTGGCTGAAAATTAAAGTTCCCATGGTCATCTAAAGGAAGGAAGACACTGCACAGTTTAACATATGGCTAAGTGATCCT